GAGAAACGAGACAAACAAAGCCTCTCGCAGACTTCCACAGTCATCTGTTTCTCTATATGAAACCGTCAAGTGTCAAACTAGGGTTCAGCTAACACTTCAAAGCTGCCAATTAAGACCATGTCTACAATAATACCTATTTGTTTTAAAAGGCCTTGAAAAGAGAGGCTTTCGAAAACGCTGACGCATTTTAGCCATTGACGCTGTCATGTGACCAATTCAGCTAACATAATGGAGCACATTGTAAAGTAGATTATTTGGATGCTGTTTATTTTGACAGCTTTATTAAAGACTGATGTCAGTTTGTACATCATATTAGTGGTGTAACGGATCACAAATCTCAAGGCTCATACACACCGGGACACTTCGTTTGTCAGCGTTTTTTATGACGTTTTTCCGGATTCCAACCCAAGTGACTTTCACTGGAGTTGAGCAGAAGAGTATGCAAAATCACTCCTTCATGTTAGATGGCGCTACACAACTTTAAGCTTCTGACACCTGCTTGTAACAAAAAGAAAAACGAAGAGAAAGTTGACACACTTGTTGTTATGGATGGTTCAAGTAGCAGCTCTAAGCAGCATGAAGAAATGATTATTGTTCACCAGAGCAATAAGCAGATCCACGTTCATATCACCTCTGGCCATCTTCTTCAATGTGCGCTTGCATTGACAGTTTTGCGATGGAGTGCCTCCAAGTGCTGTTTACTGTAACTTTAGCAGCTCTGTGCACGTGAACAAAAGTTTTGACTTGGCGCGTCAAAGCAAAAAAAAAGGCGTTTTTTTTGTCTAGCGTTTTGCACATTGGTGTAAGCGATCACATTGACGCCTTTTATTTAGTCACAAAGCGTTAAACTTCGACTAAAAACGTGAGCAAAAAACGTCTCGGTGTGCACGGGCCTTCATGGTTCCGATCACACTACGGTTTTTGAGCCACGGATCGGATAATTTTTTGTATCAGTAAAAAAGGGATGAGAATAGTGATGCACCGATATGGATTTTTTGGCTGATATCGATAACTAATAACTCTTCAGACTTGGAGGCCGATAGCCGATATATATATATACAGTTGAAATCAGAATTATTAGCCCCTCTAAATTATTTGCACCCCAGTTTATTTTTTCTCTCCAATTTCTGTTTAATGGAGGGAAGATTGTTTCAGCACATTTCTAAGCATAATAGTTTTAAAAACCTATTTCTAATAACTGATTTATTGGTTATTTATTGGTTAATTAGGTTACTACGCAGGTTAGGGTAATTAGGCAAGTTATTGTAAAACGATGGTTTGCTCTGTAGACTATCGAGAAAAAAAAAATTTGCTTAAAGGGGCTAATAATTTAGTCCCAAAAATGTTTTTAAAAAATTAATAACTGTTTTTATTCTAGCCGAAGTAAAACAAATAAGACTTTTTCCAGAAGAAAAAATATTATCAGACATACTGTGAAAATTCCCTTGCTCTGTTAAAAATCATTTGGGAAATATTTAAACAAGAAGAAAAAAATCAAAAGGGGGCTAATAATTCTGACTTTAACTATATATATATTAGGGTTGGGCATCTAAGCTATAATGCCGATCCGATACGCATCTCGATACAAAGAATACGATCCGATATATTAGCGATACATTTGTGACATATTGCGATGCAACACGATACGATTCACACCCATATCACGATACGATGCGATATTTCAGCACTAATTAGATCAAGTTTATGAGATGATGTGAAAGAGGATGCTGTGCCATTGAATGAGTTTGATTATTTATAAACCAAGCAAAACCAAGACTTTTTTTACAAACTGGCTTTTCTCTCAGAGCCAGAGTGTCAGTTTACAGTAGAGGGCCATTTTAGAACATATAGCACATATTATTTAAGTATTTTCAAGATAAACAGAATGTATAAGTGCAATATCAATTAAAAAAATATGTATATATTTGCACTCTTTCAACATAAATAAATTTAGCATTGCACAACAAGAATTGTGATTTAACTTTTCAACTATGAAAACAAGTTTTACAAAGATATATTTTGCCACTGATTATTCAAAACTTAAGGTTGTGAACTAGCAGTGTTATGCTGCTTTGAAACATCACTGTCACTGTAAACAACAGGCTAATAAAAATATAACAAACCAGCAATCTTCTTGCTGTGAGGTGGTCAAACTACCCACTGTGCCACCGTGACACCCATTATTTTTATCATTATTATTATTAATATTATTATTATTATAATTAAATAAAAATTAACAGGAGGAGGTGTTTAAAACCTTCGTTCTCCGTGACACTAGGCTGAATATCTTTGCAGATGAACAATGCAATAGCATTCGTTATTGGCGTAGAGCGAGCAGAACTGTTGCGCACGAAAAAAAACTTGCAATGCTTTTCTCACCACTTTTGGAGCTGGTTGAAGCAGTGCGAAAGCCGGGGATGCAGAAACACTGGAAGATGCTTTCACAACAACACCGTGGCGCTGCTTCAAGTGAGATTTCAGATTAGTCGTACTGCCCGCG